CTTGGGAAAAAACGTGAGAAAATAGATATGTGGGCAGATGAGCATGGTCAGCTCCTGACCTCATCTTCACATCTGGGTTATTACGTGGTTTTCTTTCACTGCCCGTCCCACCATCTCCCACCTTCCTGGGCATTCTCTTTTGGGTTGTAGGCAGGAGGTATGCAGAGGCAGATCCATAACTCCTGGCCTTTGGAGGCAATAAAGGGCAGCCTGTGCTAAGCCCAGGAACCCTGAAATCTGAGGAGGTTTCAAGTCTCAATAAGTCCCTGAAAGAAACTCCTGGATGCTCAAGGGCTGTGCTTTCACAACCAAAGGGAGAATTGCAACCTCCATCCGGAGGAGTGGCCCTTTCACCAGGTGATATCCATCTTGGAGAGAGGGAGAAAGAGGAGAGGGTAGGTGGTGAGTAGGAAAAGAGATATCACTGCAGGTGGCTGTTGAGTGTGATACAGCAAGCAGAAGACGCCCAGGGAATTTTCCTGACGTGAGCTGCCCTGAATTGCCCCAAAGAGTTCACACCGGGCACTGTTGTCCTTTACAGCAGGTTTGATACACTGAGAATTTCCCAAGCGAGGAGCTCTCCAGGCAGAAAGCTGTGTCTCACTGGTAAAACTCCAAGGAGATCCCTCAGTGACGTTGGCCTGTGACATTTGTCAGCAGAGCACATGGAAGGAGCCCTAAGGCCCAGAGGCCGTTCCAGAGTGGCTTCTCTGGGCAGAGGTCAGCATCACCAAGGTGACTCAAAGCACTTTGGAGAAGCAGCTTTTAGAGGTATCAAAGGAAGGGGTGAAACTGACTCTAGTGCTGTCTGAACTACTCATCTTCCACATGTTTTGGGTACCAGTCTATGCCCACCTGGGCCTTAGCCAAGCTCACGCTGACTTCTGCAGTGCTTTTGGAGTCACCGAAGGTTTGGCTCCTGTTGTCTGCTGAACCTGAGTTTTCTTTCAGCTTCTCAGCTCCATGGGTGGAGGTGCAGAAAGAGGATGGGATGCTGAGATGGCCCTGGAGCTCCAGGCTCAAGCATCCAGTGCCTCGAGTCCTGGGAGGTTCGTGCGTCACTGCTGCTGAAATCTGCAGCCAGGAGGGCTGGGAGAGGCAGGGATCATCCTAAACAAAAACAAGGCGCCGGCTGGGCTGCCAGCATTGCAAAAGGACGTTTCAGTTGCCTCGTCTTCCTTGGTGGCACGGGCAGGGAGAGCCTCAGTGCAGGGGGGCTCAAGCTGCTGAGGCTGCTGAGGACAAGCACCTCGCTGGGCTCAGGGACCACAGATCCACCCCAGTGACATCACCACAGTCTCAGTCCAATGGCATCACTCCTAATCCCCGTGTCACGGCCTTGGTGGTGAGAACACAGAGCCGGCTGGGCTGCAGTGTCCCTGTGGATGCTGGCCTGAGGTCCTGGGGAGGAGCACACGGGTGTGGGGGTGATGGTGCCCCACACGAGGTGCAGCACCTTGGCCAGGATGTGACAGACAGGCACAGAGAGAGGGGACAACAGTGAGGGACTGTAGCGGAGACCGTGGCTTCATCTGAGTCGAGCTGCACCTGCTCCTCACCCTTGCCACGGATGTGACAGCAGAGCCTGGGGACGCAGGGGTGGTGTCACAGTCGTGTCCCCCAGCCCAGGGAGCCTGAATTCCACAGGAACCCCGTGGCCCTGCTGCCGAGGGGATGGGAGCAGGGCTCGCTGCGCTCACGGGCTGATTCACACGGGGAGCCGGGGGCCGGGCTGCCGTGGGAAAGCGCGCCCGCCATGGCTCCCGAGCGCCGGGATTGCTTCAGCGGGGGTGCAGCCAAGATCCATTTCACAGAGGGCAGAGCAGATCTCGGCTGGGATTTACCAGTGACTAAGCATGTGCTGGCACGGGCTGCCCCAGCGTGAGAAAAGCAGAGCTTCTCCTTCTCCGAGGTGTGCCCGCTGCTGCCCTGCACCCCACTGCCTCGGGGGCATCCGACACCCCACTGTGTCACACGGGCATCGGGCACCCTGCCACCCTGAGGGCATCAGGCACGCTCCTGTGCCACAGCGACAGCAGTGTCAGAGGACTCAGAAGCCTGTTGGGGCTGCAGCCCCCCAGTCCCCTCCTCCCAAGCTGGACTCTGCCCTTTCCTCATCCCTGAGGCCAGGCAGGATGGCGTGAGCAGAGCCTCTGCATTCAGCCCACTCCGGAGCACATTATCCTCCGGGCAGGACTGGGGCGTGGGCAGAAGCTGCCACCCCCACCCCGAGCCTGGCACAGGGGCTGAGGGGACCCCGAGATGTTGCAGAGATGCCAAACCCTTCTGTGTCGGGTTATGGCCACTGCTCACAGCAGTTCCACCCCACGCAGTGTCCCAAGGTGTCACCATCTCCTGCTGATTCACCTCATGAAGATTTTTGGGGCCACATCTAATCCTGCCATGACAGATCTGTAGAAACCAAACAACCATTTCTTCTCCAGAAGAGAGGCTTCCCACTTCCCTACCCTATATACAAAAGATCCACACAAAAAACTGCTCCACATCCCCAGGAGCCAAACATCAAGCCTGAGGCCACCACTGGTCCCTGCAAAGCAGCCATGCAGCCCAGCCTGTGGAGGAGGCAGCCTCCCCCACTCACTTCATTTCTTTGGGCTAATTTTGGCAAGGCATTAGAAAAAATGAATTGAAATTTTTTATTACAGCTAATTGGCACTACTGCTTAAGTGACTTATCTGGCTCCTGAGCTCGTACTCTGTTTTTGGGAAGCTGAAGATTGTAAAGGCCCAGAGGCTAGGGGTGTGGCATGGGGCACAGAGCCTCTTGACAGCACCCAGCAGCCCCAGAGAGTGGGGAATGCCAGGATACCCCTGTGCTGCTGGGCATCCCTGGCCCAGGGAGTGAACTGCTCCTAGCTCACAACAGCCATGAATTTTAGACAAGCAGAGAAATTTGTGCAAGGTCACGCTGTGCACCCAAGTGAGACAAGAAGCCTGTACCCAGCGTGCTGGCACTGCTGCACAAGAACCTCATGGGCTCCAAGCTTCCATGGCTGGGCATCCTGGGGGATTTGGTGTGTGACAGAAGGCAGAGGAGACCCTGCATGTCCATGCCAGCAGGGAGGGCAGGGGAGGAGGATGCCCTTGGGCCCTGCTGCACCCTCCTGGCTGCCAGTTCAATGGACAACTGATATGGGAGCTTCTTGGAAACCTCTGACTCTCCAGTGCTCCCACCAAGAGGTACCATCCCCCATCCCTGCAGGCTCAACATCCCTCTCTAGCATGCAGCCCATTGTCACCATCATGGGGAGTGGGACCAGAACATGTCCCCAGCAACTGCCCGTCCCCTCTGCCTGACTGCTGCAATGCCACAGATCCCTGTGAGGGTGTGGGTGCCTGTCACGGGGTGGCATCTTGGCTCTAGGTGCAGCCTCTGCAAGCTGGGATGTGCTCAGGCCTCAAAGGGACCATCCAACACCTGGTCAGGTTCTGCAGAAATTCAGGTTCCCACAAATTACAGCATCATTCTGCTTCTCTGGGCTTTCACCCAGATGCATTTTCCGGGTCCCTGGGTTTGAGGGGGAGACCGAGGAGGGCTTTGCCCTGCTCAAGGGAGGGGGACGTGTCCAGCCCCCCATGGTATCAGTGCTCTCATCTTGTCCCCAGCATGAGCAAGGAGCAGCACAGGCCTCTGTCCCCAATTGCTCGAGGGGTTGTTCCCTGATGCTGCTGTGCAAGTCAGAATACTGCCGCAAAATTCCCGTTTAAAAGTGATGCAGTGCCTTCCATGTGATTTGGGTGCTTCCAAGATCACCCCTTGTCTGTCTCTGTCTGTCTGTCCATGCTGCTGCTCTGCAGGGCTGGACCAGTGGAGCCTCGAGGAACTGGGCCCACGTGTCCTTTCTGGCCAAAATAATGGGGAGTGTGTGCTGGTTTTGTGGAGGTTGCCAGTGGGAGTCACCTCCTGCTGCAAGGCAGAGCCAGGCCATGGTGGCAAGCTCATTTCCAAACAAATCACCCTGTTCCTCCTGTGCGAGCAGGCCATCACTGGCCCTTGCCATGAACCTGGCACTGCTCCAGCCCCAAACCAGCAGAGTGGCCACCAGCCCACACCAGGGCCTGGCTGGGAGCTGGAAAACCTTTCTGGTTTCAACAGGCTCTGGAGCAAAGTGTCTGGCAGGGAACTGACTTGTTCTGGTTGGTGAAGTTGCTCACCTCTCTCCTGCCTTGCCTTGGGTGCAGCATGCTGGGAACACTCTGCCAGCAGAAAACAGCCCCTAAAAACAGCTGACAAATGGTGTTATGGCGCATCCCAGAAATCAGCTCCCAGGCCCAGGAGGGAGGGGAGAGGAGAGGGAAGGTGTCAGGGAGCTGGCTGCGATGCTCCCGGGGAGCTTTAGTGCTGCTCACTCTGGGCAAATGTGTTTGGCTGCCAGCCGCATCCTGTGCTTAGCCCCGGGCACCATCCCTGTGTGCTCCTCAGCAGTGGGATTTGGGGAGCTCCTTCGGGTCCAGCACCTGGCACATGCAAGCATTCAGAGACCTGTCTGGGTACATTTTGGCAAACAAAAGGTGGGGTAGAAAGCATGACTCAGTGTTCACAGAGCTGCAGCAGAGCTGAGCCAAGCAGAGCCAGATGAGAGCCCAGAATGTGTTGGGGTCCACAGCCCCCAGCGTCTGTCAGACAAGAGAGATCAAATCTTGAAGCCACAGCCCAGACTTTGAGTGTCTGTTTGATGCTTTAAGGCAGCCTTGTTGCTGGTGTTTTCTGCCCGGGGAGCCAGGGTGGGCAGCAGTGCTGGCAGCCTGGCTGGAGACGTGGCTGAGCACACACAGAGGGAGCAGCTCTGGAGGGGGTTCTTGGGCTTGTGGCTGGTGCCTGTCCCTCTTTGGTGGGACATGTCCTGCCCTGGTTTCCCTGCTGTGGTGCATGTGATGCGGGCTGCCCAGCCTGTGCCAGTGGTGCCCAGCATGGGTTTGTGCCCATGGCAGGCAGGAGGTGCCCCGGGAGCACTGACCTTCCCCTCTCTCTTCTCTCAGGTGTGCAATTGCAACAAGTACCTGAAGGTCTCACGGGAGAGGATGAGGCAGCTGGTGGAGAGCAGCAGACAAGCATCAGGGGAGCACAGTGCAGGTGAGTGGGTGAGTGCCCACAGCTGGACATGATCCCCCCTCCTGTGCCCTTCCTTGGGACTCACTGGCCTGGACAGAGCAGGACCATCCCCCTGGGCCTGGGGGTGTCTCAGAGGAGGATCAGGGTGCCCTGCCATCAACCTGTCACAGGGTGCAGACCCACAGAGCTCTTTCAAGTCCAGTTTATGTTTCTGCCCTGGCTGTCCTGTCCTGCCCTGCAAGGCACAGGGTCGTGCATGGGATTGCCCAGCCCGGGGGGATTGGTGACATGCCAACAGTAGCTCAAGTGTCAGCCTGAGGCCATCACCACCTGAACTGAAAAACTCAGCTTGGGTGGTGAAATGCCTCCTGGCTGGGGCTGCTCTCAGCACCTTCCTCACCTGCCCAGTGCCTCTCGAATTAGGTCAGACTGCAGGGAGGTGAGTCAGTGCCGCCTGCCCAGTCAGGCTCAGCGGGCTCGGGGGAGGGAAGGCTCCTTCGTGCTGTGCACCGAGCTGCATTGACCCACACGCACTCCTTCCCACAGGGAGACACAGTTTGGTGGCAAACGACACCCATCGCAGGCACACTGGAATGGGAATGTGCCTCTGTTGCTGCTCCAACCCAGCCCGGGCTCTGCCCCCAGCCCTTTTGTGCATCACTTCCCCATCTGCTGACAGCAGGGAGCGGCTGTGGCATTGCTGGGAGCTGCACGTGTGGCTCTGGGGATAAGGAACGTGGTGGGGCGGCTTTTCCCATGGTGCCAGCAGCCTGGGAGTGCTGTGCTTCCCCAGAGGCCGGGACATCCTCTCCAGCGGTTTCTCTGGTGAGGGCACTCTCTGCGTGTGTATCCAGCGACCAGACGGGCCAGTTCAGCCAGTTTCAGAGTATGGGAAATAGAAATGCTGTGGTTTGTGCTCAGAGTGAGCTGTTTCCCCTTCCCCCTTCGGGATGAGGTTGATGGAGCTGGGAGGGTCTCACACAGCACCGTGGCTCCTCCACACAGACTCTTCAGGGACCACCTTGCCCTACTCTTTACACCCCATCTGCAGCACTGTGTGTCCCCATCGGGCTGTGCAGTCTCCTGCTGGGTCCCCCATGTACCTGGTGGGGGGGGGGTATGGGGAAGGAGCATCTGAGACCCCTGTGCTGGCCATATCACTCATCACCTTGTCAGGGAGCATCCTCCAATGGGGACCATCCTCTGCCCCGGAGCAGGCAGGGGCAGAGACCAAAGGTGCCACAGCATCCCCAGAGGTTTGGTGGAGACATGAAACAGAAGCTGTGATTCCAGTACAGGTGGGCACAGCAGGGCACTGGCACCCACCCAAAGTGAGAACCCCTGGGGATTTGCCAGCAGGGTCCCCTGTGACCCAAAGGTCTGACCCCATCCTGGGGTATCCATTTCTGTTTGGATTTTGCTAGGACCTGCAGGGTTTGCAAGCATTAATGTGAGCTTGACTAGGTTGCCCCAAAATGTCCCACTTTGGGTCAGATTTTCAGGAAGACAAACAGGAAGGGTGTGCTGACAGTGTCCTGCCATCACTTGGTGGGGGCAGTGGTGGTGTTGGGACAGGCTGGGCAGCTACAGAAGTGGGTCCATAAGGAAAATCTCACCCGTTCCCTCATTTCCTTTACATTTTCCTGCCGAAGGAGTTGGTGGCAGGACCTGCTCTGCCCTTGTCATGGCCCAGCACACGGCATGGGGTGTTCAGCACCCACAGCCCCACAACCAGGACTGTCCCCTGTCCCGTGACTCCAGCCCAGGCCATGTTGTCCCTGTCAGCATTGGCCCAGACCATGGCCAGGTGCTGCTGCTTGGCAAGAAAATGCCTTTTCCCTGCTCCTGCTTGCAGGCAAGGGGAGAACCTCTTCCCACGGGGGCTTCACCTCTCCAGGGAGGAGCTGGTGGATGCTGGGGCAGATGGGGACAGATCCTTCAGGACCTCCCCTCAACACAAGTCTGCATCTGGCCCAGGTGCTCCCAAGTGCTGGGGTCCAGCTGCAGCCAGCCACAGGCCAGTGCTGCTCCATTTGTCTCCTGGATTTTTATAGCAGGGCTTCCGAGTGATGAAAGGCCAATTATTCATCCTGTAATAGCTCACTCTTACTTGGACCTAGGACTTTCACAGGTCTTAGAGAACATATTCATTGACACAGCTATAATATTTCCTGCAGGAAGGCTTTGACAGAAGTGCTGCAAATAGTTTCAAGCCCAGACAGCTTTGCACTGTGAAGCCTTTTTCCTAGTGGGATGCTCTTAGCAGCTCAGGTGCCTGGAGCAGACTGGGGCAGAGAGGGGAGCAGGGCTGTGGATCACCACGGGGTGCAGACACATCCTTGCCGGAGGCAGTGACAGATTGTGGCTCCCAAGTGACCCAGGGGAATGAGCTGTGTCACAGGCACTCGTCTGGCCAGGGGAACTCTTGCTTAGTCAGTGCAGTAAAGCCAGCTGGCACAGGGCCCCAGAGCTCGGTGGGTGCTCTGCCAGATGAAATCTGGTCTCTGGGAAAGGCAAGGATGTAGCACATTCCATTGGGTTGGGAGTTGCCAAACAGAGGAGGCGAATTTAATTGTAAAATCCCCCCTCACCATCTAAAATGTGATGCAAAAGATGAAAACAATGGATCCTGCTGTTCTTGGGTCTGTGGTGCTGACCAGGTACAGTGGAGCCTCCACTCCCATGCTGGGTGGGCACCCTCCCTGACCAGCTGCCAGCACTGGGGCTCTGGACACAGGTGCAGGGTAAGTCCCAGATGGCCCCAGGGGTGGCTGGAGGAGCAACCAGAGTGTCTCTGCACTGGGTGGTAGGATGGCATCAGGCAGCTCGGGCACTCACCTTGCCCCTGCCAGTTTGAGCAGTGACTTTCCCTTCTCAGCCCTCGACTCCAACCTGAGTATGGGGAAAAGCCGGCAGAGACAGCTCAAGGCAGGTGGAGGAAGACCACGGTGTGGGGAAGGCTGGGTGACAGCTCCAGGCTGGGGTGGCAGCAAGACAGTCCCTCCTCTACAGCCACCACACTGGGACAGCTGAGGGCAAGGGCTGGTGGGTCCTGCTCCCCTTAGCCAGGAGCTCTGATGGATGGCAGGAAGAGCCCCCTGCATGCCCAAAGCCCTACAGCTGGAGGCTTCCCTGATCTACAGTATTTGGCTTTGCTGTGAGCACCACACTTGTCTTGCTGACGTGTGGGAAAGGTGTGAGATAGGTCCCTGTGCTGTCCCAGGCGTATTCTTGCACCCACGGTGCCTTGTACCAGATTCAGTTTGTGGGACCAAGGCACCCCCATTGTCTTAGGGTGCTCTGAACACTTCAGCATGGAAGGGGATGGGTTCCTGAGGGGTTGCACCCCTGGATCAAGGGAATCCTCTCCTCCCCTTCGGCAACCCCATGCATTTAGGCTCTCTCTTCTCCAGGGTGCAACAGAATAACAGGAGCATCCTCACGTGCCCAAGTAGGGCAGGGATGGGACCGGGGCTGCAGTGGTGAGACCAGCCAGAAACACCCCTCAGGCTCAGCTGGGTTGTGCTCTGCCAGCTTTCCCTCTTCAGCAGAATTTCACTTGCTCATATGGAAAAGCATGGGAGGGCTGGGACCCGGTGGCATTGTTGTGTCGGCTGGTTTGCAGGGCTCAGCTGTGCCTGCTGACAGGGACCCGGGGAAGAGCTGGGGGCCATTCAGAGCCGGGGACCATTGCGTGCTGCTGCCCAGCGCTGGGTACAGGGGCTGACAGGGTTCTCTTCGCAGCGGCATGGGGAGATGAGAGCAGCTGGAGCTGCCTCTTGCTTGAGCTCATCCTCCCTCCTTCACCCTGGGAACATCTTAAGATCATGGCCCGGCTGCTACAGCCCAGGTTGCACAATCCTGGGTCCTTTGTCCTTTGCTTATCTGCCTTATCGAGGAGGAAAAGATAACCAGGTATCTTCAATGCCCTGCAATCAGCACATTTCTCAGGCTCGTAACTCCTCTTATCAGGCTGATCTCTCACCACGGCCGAGGTTTCCCATGCACCTTTGTACTCCAAGAATGCTCCCAGGTCTGTCTTCAGCCTTGAGCAAAGCCTCGACAAAGCTGTGAGCGTTCTCCCAAACCCCCCAGCCCTGGCTGCTACCGAGCCCTTCACACCGTTGCGATGGCTCTGGCAGTGGCGGGCGCAGGGCTCGGGGCTGGCACAGGGCTCGGGGCTGGCACAGGACTGCATCTTCAGAGGCAGCAGGTGCTGCCAGGTGCTTGCCTGAGCCAGCCGGGACAGGCACCCAGCTTTTTGCCCCAAGGCCTTGGTTCGGGCAGGGGTGACACAGAGGGACCTGGGCTAGAAACAGGACCCGTGGGGCAGGATTTTGGGCAGAAGTACCTGGCTCCCTGGGAAGTTGTTGGCTACCACCCTGACACTGAAACCCTGGGAGTGTCCAGGGCTCACACGGTGGAAACAGATGGTTCCCAGCTAAATCAGGGCTGTCTAGGCTGCGAAAGGGAAATGGGCACAGGTTCAAAGGTTTTCCCCAAATCTGCTCTGTCCCTGCCCCCCTGTCCTGCCATGGAAGTCCCAGTGGCCTCCCAGTAATGCTGAGCCAGCACTCCAGCACTGCAGCTGACAGAATAGGCTGGAGGGACTACAGGTCACCAGTGTCACCACCATCACTGTAGCCTTTCAGCGTGACCCCCACTAAGAGCCTCTCTGTGTGAGGGAATGTGCATGCCCTTACCCAGAGCCCTCAGCCCATGTCTTGTCCCATGTCCATTCCACTGGGCTCAGCCCCATGTCCATGAGCAGGATCTTGCAGTGGGGCACATGGAGATGCAACTCCTGTCTTGTCCCTATATTGGGACAAGTCACTTTGCCCCCACAGCCTCTCTGTGGCAATAGTTCAGGGTTTTTGTGGGACTACCCTGTGGCTGTGAGTCCCAGATGCTGCCGTGTCCCCCCAGGTGAAGGGACTGTTGGTTCCTTGTACTGCCCAGAGCCTGTTCAGTGCCCAGGGTGTGGGTCTGCCCCACTGCCTTGGTGCTGATGACTGGGGGCTGAATGAAGGGGATCCAATCCAGGCTGGGGAGCTCCTACTACACACTCCTCGTAAAGCATGGGGCCAGCCTGCCCTGGGGCATACAGCAGGGGCTTGAACACAAAGCAGGGCTGCTGCAAAGGTGACAACTGCCTGCAGAGGTGGGACCCCACCACCGAGAGTGGCCCTGCTTAGCTCAGGAAAGAACCTGATGCAGAAATAAGCAGAATGGGGGTGCTGCAGCATCCCCTCTGCCCTGGATATGGCAGCATTTGCTGGCAATGAGACGTCATGATGGGAACAGCAGGACTTTTTGCTTGTTCCCGTGGGATTAATTCCCACGGGCAAGCAGAAGTGGACAGGAGCTGTGAGTGGGCAGCACGTGCGAGGCCAGGAAGAGATGGCTCTTGTGCTAAGTACTGCCCAGTTGGGAACTTGCCCAGTTGGGAGATGACTGTTGCTGCCTGTGGAGCTCTGCAGCACTCACATGGGGGTGCTCAGCCTTGGGGGGCTGGAGGCTGCAGGGCTCAGCCCCTTACCCAGGCTCTATCATCCCCAGGGTGACCCAGCCGAGAGGGGGAGAGGTGAACGAGAGGCGAGGGAGTTTTTTCAAGATGTTTTATAATGGGATTATTAGTTCCCAAGAAGTGTTTCAAATCAATTCGGTAAGGAATCGCTTTCCTTTCTCCTCCGCGGGGATGCATTGGGAATCCAGCCTTTGGTGTGAACGTCACAGAGCTCTGGAAGCCACAGATCTGACAAGCTCCCGGCACACTGGAGGGACAAGCTGGGCTCCCCACGTCCCCATGCACCCTACACATACTTTTTGCTCCATATCTGGGGTAACTCTGGGGTGTACAGCATCCAGGCAAGCTGGGCTGCAGTCCCCGTGGCTCCACTGGGGAGGCCTCTGCCTATCTGAAAGGAGAGAAAAAAATCGTCTTCAAACCACCCCCTTTTCCACAGGAAACCCCTGTTTTTCTGGGGGATCCAGCCTTTCCCAGCTCAGTTTTCACGCATGCCCGGCTGGCATCCTGTCCCTGACGCCTGATGGCCCTTTCACCCTGTCGGTGAGGGGAGCACAAACATCTTCAAAAGCCCTGGGAAGAATTTGGTGAGAGGGGGAGAAGGGGTTTTACAAGCTCCCATTCAGAAATGGTCACTTTGAAGTGATGTAGCATTTTCAACCCTTTGAAGAGCCACAATTAAGAGGGGGCTGGTGCAAGCAAAGGCAAAACTACCGGGTGACCATCACAGCCTTTCTCTCCTCAGGCTTTTAAGGGATGAACTTTCCCTCCCTGTCTGCCTTTTTCCCACGAGCCCGGGGGGGTGGGATTGGGGTGTTTGGGGAGCTGGAGGTTTCCCATACCCCCATGCAGGGAAGGAGGGGTCTGCCATTGGCTTTGCCCACCAGCAGCAGGACAGCAGAGAGAGCGTGTGTCAAGAGAGAGCAAATTACCCAGTATCCCTGCAGGCACACAGAATGTCAGTGTCTCGTCAGTGTCCTGATGCCATGATCTGGCCAGGGAAATTTTAGGCTCCATAATAGGGAAAGTTGTTGGCCATGGGTGCTGGGTGCTGGCAGTGTCATTTCCATTGCATTGGATCTAAAAGTCCCATCCAAGATCGATGTCCCTCCCTTCAGAGTCTGGTGCTCGAGAGCAGGGAGGATAGAAAAAAAGGGTGCCCAAGATGAGGCCACCCCATGCCACCAAAAACAGGAGTAGCACAGGTCAGAGGGAGGTGGAAACAGGGTGAGGACAATGCCCCTGTTCCTTCCATGGGAAACTGCCACCCACTGGCAGGCTTTATCCTGGAGGAACCCCTGGGAAATGGACTCTTCCTCCACATCTCTGCTCTGGGTGGCTTGAATCTCTCGAGAGCAGCCTGGGTGTTTGACCACTTGCCAGAAATTGAAGAAAATGGAAATTGAGGTCATTGTTTTCCCTTTAAAGATAGATGCCAGTGTCCAAAGCAGATGCAGGGGGTGAAGGAAAGGCCCACCTCTGAGTGGGGCTGTGGGGCACTTGCCCAGGGCACAGCCCTGATAAGCCCAACTCTTGCCCAGTGTTTCAGACAGGGCTTGGGGCTGCTTCCCCTTGTGCTGTGGCAGCAAACCCCAAACTAGTGCTGCTGCTAGGCAATGTGGTGGTGAAGAGCTGGCCTGCAAATTCCCCCTGAAAACATCTCCAGTGACAGCCATGACCCTGTGTGTGGCTGTTGGTGTGCTGGGAACTGGAGGTGACCGTGCCCCACCAGCTCAGGCTGGTCATCTTCCCTGGGAAGTTGTGGAAGATTTTGGGTGAGTCTGAGGAACCCCCCCTGAACCAGAGGCTGGTGTGAGCTGATGCTTCCACACCTCCCCCGGGCTGTGGCTCTTTCTGCTCATGCGATGGGCAGGCCCAGACCCCGCTGCACAGCTGGGAGGTGACTCTACCAGGACAGGGCGGCTCTGCCAGGATGGGTTGGCTGTTTCAGGGCTGTCCCCAGCCGTGCGTTCCCCCACGATAATCCCCATCATCCTGACGGCTCTGGGACGAAGGGAAGGGCCAGTTGGCAATGCTGGTGTCCCTCTCGGTCTCAGCTGGCTCCTGACAGGGTCCCTGTGATCCTGAAAAGGGTCGGATGGACACCCCAGAAGTGCCGCTGGAGCGATGCCGGATGCCTTTTGTTGTCATAATTGGTGCCTGAGCAGGACAGACCTCCCTGCCAAAACTGAGTCATCCCTCGGCAATAACTGCAGCCTATTCCCGGCTGCCAGGCTCCCTGATGGATGGGAGGCAGCTCAGCCCTCGGCTTCTGCCACCCGGATCTGGAGGCTGCCGTGCCCCCGCTGCGGACAGAAGGGCGCTCGCTCGCCGGGTGCCGAAACTGCCGGGCCGGGGCACTCGGTGTGCGATGGCAGCGATCCCCGGTGCCGGGGGACAGGGCTGGGGACATCTCAGGGGACATCGCTCCGCGTCACTGTGCCCCTTGCCCAGGGTACATGGCGGGAGGTGGGGGGAGGGGTCACACACTGGGGATGGGGTCACGCACACCCCAAAGCCCCGTGTCCGCGGGCAGGCCGGGAGAGTCGTGGGTGCCATTAGCAGCTGATGACGATGGCAAGTTAATTAAAGCAGAAGTAAGGGCTTCCCTGCTGTTTGTTTGCCCCATAACGCAGCCGGGAGTGGGGGCACAGCCCTGCTCCAAGAGCAGCCTGGCCTGACCTGTGACAGGGAGGCAAAACCACTGCACCCAGAACAGCAGCAGCACTGGTGCCACTACCCAGACTGGAAGTGACCCCAAGACACGGCAGAGGAACTGCAGGAGGTGCCAGGCGGCTGCAGGGAAGCAAGTGGCTGTACGGGTGCCACGCTTAGGGCAGGCAGCTGCTGATGCTAATGACCAACCACTCTCCCAAATTCAGGGGGTGCTCCTCCCTGGGATGCAGGGCAGAGCCTGGACCCCTTCAGGGATGACCGGCCCCTTACAAGGGTCATTCACGTGGTTGAGCACAGGTTTTGCTCATCACAGAAGTGACTAATGGCTTATCTGCTGTCTCCTCTCTCCACAGGCTGCCCGGGGAGCCAGAGCTGCGATGTCACCGTGCCAATTTGTGACACAGCCCAGCCTGGCTGTGCCCCACACGGCGAGCAGGCAGAGGGCGTGGAGCAGTGCAGGGCAGCCGCCGTGTTGGCAGGGGACACGGTGCTGCAGGTCGCTGCCATCCCCTCCAGGGTGCTGGACAGAGACGAGCTCACTCACTTCTATTGCTGCACCTGCTGTGGGAAAGTGTTTTGGGAAGGGTCCCATTTTGGACGCGTCGTCTCCCAGTTTCAGGATGTTCTTGTGGTCTCTGGGAACACACAGAGTGTCTATGAGCTGAGCTGAGCTGAGCTGAGCTGAGCGGAAGCACAGGGACTCCGCAGGGGAACGGGGACTGCCTGGGGAACCTCAGCAGACTTTGGGCCTTGGATTTTCAGAGAGAGGCTGGAAGTGTCCCAGAGAGAGGGAGGAGCTCTCATTTTGGGATCCACCACGGAGAGCACTGTCACAGATGCACTAGTGGTTTGCAACAGCCCAAAAGTATGTGGCCTCCATGAGATCATTAAAGCAGAGGTGGCTGAAGAATGGATCCTTTATTTCTGCCCCTCTCCAACCTACTCATGGTGAGATGGTCGCAGGCTCTGCTGACCAAAACCACCACCCCATCAGTGCTGACCCCACCACACCCACACACCCCAGTGCCCCTCTGCCCACTCACTCATGGGGGAGCAGTAGCTGCATCCCCAATAGCAGCACAGGGCAGAGAGCATCCTGAGCACTCCCAGCCTGTGGGACATGTGCCATGCCTCAGCCCATCCCCAGCATCCTGTTCACCCTGGCCCTGCACTCCCAGCACTACTTGGTGGCAGCTGGTGGGTGCAGATGTGGAGCTCTGGGGAGGCTGAGCATTGCTGGGCTCATGGAAATCTCTGGGTGCACCACAATGCCCACTGGCAGCTGCACCCCCTGTGCTGGGGCCTAGGATTCCCCAGCAAGGCCAGGCTGGTCCTGGGGGGGCTCCCACTGGTGCCAAGCTGCCAGCCTCCTCCTTCCCTGGGGAGGTGCCTCAGGACAGATCCGTGCCCAGGTGCTGTGCAGGGTGCACAGGAGAGGCAGTGACATGTGTAGGTCCTCCAGTACTGGGAACTGGAATCACTGGTGGGACTGGCCAGCATCTAGAGGAGACTGCATGTGCCTTGGAGATCCTAGGCCAGGTCCTTCAGCTCCAGGGGGCTGCTGCCCAGTGCCTTCTGCTTCATGCCAGGCTCACATGATTCCATCCTGAACAGAGGAGTGCCTACAAAATTCTTCCTCTAATCTGGTTTAACTGCCAGGCCCTGCTGTTATTGTTGAGAGGGCCTGAGAAGCTCTTGGCTGAGGTGTGACATTTATGGGCCAGCAATGCTCCTGCCCAGGCAGCTCATGCTGCAGTGCAGGACTCATTTTCCTTCTTCCAAAGCTCCTGGCCACACAGAGCAGAGGCTCCTTCCTCCCAGGGACATCTCACCCTCTGGATCAATGCTTTAATAAAAAAATTAAAATAAAAAATTTCACTTTAAATATTCTTCTTTTCCATAAGATCCATAATATTAATGCCTGAGCATTAATGGATACAAGTGACCCTAAAAGGCAACCATCCCCACACTACCAGTACTGGGCACTGAGCAGCCCAAGCCCTCCAGGCTCCACACAGACTCATCCTTGTGTCAGCATCCTGCTTCTTCAGGGTTTGTTCTCAAAGGGCAGAAACTGAGGATGAGGCAAAGAAGGAATGATGCAGAGCTCCAGCTGCCAGCTCCCACAGCGTGTGTTGCTTTGTCATGCCATGAAATAAACCTCTCCAAAATGGGATGAACCTTTACAGGCCCTGTTTAGGGGAAGCTGCTGAGCCACATGCACGTCTGACCACTCATGGGTATTTCTGGCCTTTGCTTGCTGGGTTTTCCAGAGCTGTGGTTTCACATTTGTCTGCCACTGCTTCCATTGTGGAGGGGAGCTCACAGGAGGTGGGGACACCTGGGGACAGCTGCCTAGGAGGTGCCTTCCTTCTGATCCCTGGGGACATTAGGCTTACCTCCTGGCCAACTCCAGGACTTTATGTGCTTGAGTGGTCCCCCAGTTTCGGGGTGACCTCTTGTGCTTACAGTCAGAGCTGTGCTAGGGCAGGGTCCCATGGCTGGGACTTGTTCTAGGACACCAACCCAGGGCAGAATCCAGCAAGTGGTGTGTACCTGTGGACTTGGCACAAAACAGCTCCTAGAGGATTCCATCCAGCTCCTGGGGACAGGGGCAGTGCCTAGCACCCAGCACAGCACCCTTTCCTTCCTGCTGCCAGCAGGAGGTGGTGCTGTGGTGGGAAGTGTGCAGCAAGGTCACCTCCAGTCATAGACACGGTCAACAGCAAATTCCACATCAAATCAGCCTTGAGGAGCATCTAGGAGGTAATAAATTGTCCTTTTTGAATAGTGGATACATATCAAAGGGAGTTAAAGAAGCTTTCTAATCAGCTTACAATATTGTTTCCTTATCTGGCTGCTTAAAAAAAAATTACAAAATCCCATTGTCTGTATCATACTAATGTTTAACATTTATTAGGCCAGTAATGAGCCCTCCTTGGTTTTATGGAGTCGTTTGATCCTGTGTGGGAAGGGCAGCCCTGCAGTGTTCTGGCAGAGATGAGCGCCCTGGGTGGGCTGCCCACTCCAGAGCCCATGGATCCCCCAGTTGCTTCACCTGTGCTCAGCTCCTGCCTTTGCGCGACAGAATGTGATCACGAGGGGACCCTGGGATAAAACAGCACTGAGGAAGAGTTTTATTGCTCTTTATCATGAATGAGATCTGGCTGAGCAGCAGCCATCCCTCAGCCCTGGGAAACCACACGCTGCATCGGATGTTGGGCGGTTCCTCTCTCTCCTTGTGTACTCCTGCACATCCTTCAGAGCTTGATGGGGACAAGGTGTTTGACGCTCAGGCCAGCTTTAGTTTACAAATGGATATGTCAACATTGTTCCTCATCAGGCAGGAATGCACTTCCCTCCCTTCTCCCCCACCTTATCCCCATCCCCGAGCAAACTTCCTTCCTCCTGTAATCTGCAGCGGAAACCTCGCCACATATTTGACCGGCTCACAGAAATCAGCTCAATGTTCCCTGGCGTGACTTTGTTCCTTGAACTAGGACTGGCTGGTCCCTAAGGCAGCCAGCAAGGCACGGGAGAAGGACAGGCACTGTACCACTGCCCATCCTCATCCTGGAGCCACTCTTCCAGCCGAATGCTCTAATTGAGCTCCCAGTTGCTTGGCTGCCATTTTCAAACAAACGAATGTGCTTTTGGACACAGATCCAGCCCGAGCTGGCTGTGAGCTCCGGCCCTTGTGCTGTCCCACACTGTGGGAATGCTGCTCCCACAGGGCAGGGTCACTGCTCACAGTGAGGGGAGAGCAGAGAGGTGTCTGTTGAGGAGGGACATTCAGATCAGTCAGGGGATGTTTGCACCCTGGGGAGTAGCCTGGGACCAGACCCTTTCCATCAACCTGCCAATATGTGGGCATGACCCTTAGGCAAATGAGCTTCTATCACTCACCAGGCATTTGTCCTATGGCAGCTATGGCTGTGTCACCCCTGAGCCTGGGGTTCTCACAGGTCGTCCCTATGGAGCAGTCAGCAGGTACAGAGGCCGCTCCTGGTGGGCTGTAAGGAGTCTTCTGAGGGAACTGTGCAGTGGAAGCAGTGGGGTGACATATACCCATCCCACAGTCACCACAGAGGAGTAGCCATGCAGTGCAACCAAACGGATTGCTCAGAGCAGCTGTGGCTGCCCCATCCTGGAAGTGTCCAAAGCCAGGCTGGATGGGGCTTGGAGCAAGCTGGGATAGTGGCAGATGTCCCTGCCATGGGAGGGGGTTTAACAAGATAAGTGTTAAAGACTACTTCCAACCCAAAGCAGTCTATGATTCTGTGATAAATGGCCCCAAGAACCATGTGTCTCAGGAGATAGCAATTTCCTTGCACCAAAACCCTGCACTGACACTAGATTCAATCCTGGATCCAGGACAAAATAATTACATCCCGAAGATGGTGAAGTTGGCCCAGGGCACATAAAACTAAAGTCTGTGTCTCCAACCAACTCTATCAGCACCTGCAGAGTGAAGATATGGTTCCTCCATGTGCCAGTTTTCCGGGACCAGAAGCCCTACAAGCAGCTGCCAGCACACCAGGTCAGGGACATGTGATGGTGTCAGTTTAGAACACGGGCTGGAGCCATGGCAGTTTGGAGAACATGTACTCAGTGGCCATAGGGACGTCAGTCAAGGAGACGCCTCAGCATGGCCTAGCAGCACTGAGACACTTGTGCAGCCGGAGATACCTGCCTGTGGCACTGGGCAGGAATTCTCCAGCTCCAAGTGTGTCCCAGCTGGTGGCCTTTTGCTCCAGGAGCATTTTTGTGCTGTCAGATACTGAGACCACAGGCTACCTCAGAAGAGCTGCAGCATTTCAAGCAGGATAAGGATTGACATGACGAAGCACTGGAATGGTTAAAGGCCAAGCTGCAATGAGATAACCCAAACTGTACAGCCCAGTACCACATCCTCCAGCCCAGGGACACCCCTACCTGTGCTCTCCCCAGAGGACAATGATTACGTGTAGTGTTATGACCCTGCTTGAGACTCACTCAGGTTTTATATCCTGTTTGTCACAGGCTAGGAGGGAGGGACCATGCAGAGCAGCATCTACGATGGCATCCGCGGGAAGTGGCAGTCCCCAAACTATGTTCCTGCAGTGTGGTGTGGGAGTGGTCCCTGTGGTGTGGGAGTCTCAGGAGGATGCCCTTGTCCACAGAACTTCCCAAACCACTCATGAGAGCTTTTATTGTGGTGCTGTGCTCCCTGCAGAGGACACAGGGACCCACACACGTTCACGCCACAAGAACATGAGGTTTCCCTTGCAAACCCCCAGTTCTGGCTTCAGGAGCTCTGCCTGCAGGGCTGGCAGTGTCCCGGCCCGCCCAGGCACAGTCTGGGTGCCATCGAAGGCTCCTGGTGTGTGATGTGTCCGTCGGGAGAGCATGAGGCCAATCCCACAGCCACGGCCCTGCTTGTGCAGCCCTCAGACCACACGGAGGACGGGTGTCCCCTGAGAACCCCCTTGACCTCTTCCCCACCAGGGACAGTGATCCCCTTTTTTGCCCCCAGAGGTGAATCCGCACAAGGGAGACTGTTCCCACGCAGTAGCCACAGCCCCGGGTGGGCTCTCTGCCTCCCCACACCCCACATCTCCGCCGTGGGGCAGGCGGCATTGGCCGAGCCCCACGTTTCCCCACCGGGGCTCCAGCAGCCGCTTTGCCAAAATGCCGGGAGGCGAAGCGCCGGCGTGGCCAGCGGCGGAGGAAACCTCGGCGCTTCCTCCGGCTCCGAGGGAGCCGAGCGGGCAGGGCGCTCTCCCTCGCACGCCTTTCGCTGGGGCTCTGCGCTGGGAAGAAAAGCTCCCGTCTTTCCCACGCTCTCCGACACATTTTAATGAATTAAGTGGGGGCACGCCCCCTCGCCGCCTGCCCCGGATCCGTCCCCCCGGCTCTCCAGCTCTCTGCAAGGAGGCCTCGGGGGGTGGCTGGACTCTCGCTGCCGCGTCCGCCTGGCCGGGAGGACGGGCATGACCCGCTGGGATTTT